TTTTTTTTTTTTGCGGGGGGGATGTTCTGGAGGGTTTGGGGGTTGTTTTTTGGGATTTGGGGTTTCTTCGGGGGCAGGGTGGGGGTTTCTGACGGGCTTGGGTTATTTTGAAGGCTTTGGGGGAGGTTGGGTTTTTTTTGAGTCCTCATTTGAGCTGAAAATCAAATTTTTGCCATGGTTTGGGGAGTCACGGGAGTTTTACGGAGTTCTTCATCACTTTTACAGATTTTTTAGGGAGTTCATGGATTTTTTTAGGGAGTTCATGGATTTTTTGAGGGAATTGGATGGATTTTTAGGGAATTTCCAGGTCTTTCAGAAGCAAAAAATGGGATTGCAGAACCTCCAGATGCCTCTGGAGCTTGTCCAGCTCTGAGCAAAGCACTTCAAAATTCTGTGTGTTTTTCACAGAGCTGGTGCAGATTTTTCAGGAAGGGGGGGCAAAAGTGAGGAATTGCAATCCCAGGATTTCTCACAGATCCAGCGGTTGAATTCGGAGCAGCGCTCCCCGATCCAACGGCCGTTGGATTTCATGGCTCCACAATCCTTGTACTCCTTATCTGGGTCCTCAGACCACACATCCCAAAATCTGGGGGGAAAAAAGAGGGAGAAGGAGAAAGAGAAAATCAAGGAATAAAAAATGAGTAGGAAGAGCTCAAATTGGAATTTCAGGGGGAAAAGACTACAAAAAGCTCAATTTTTTTTTCTGGTGCCAGGCAGAAAACACTCCCATAATCCCATTTTTCCAATGGTGAACTCCCAAAATCCCAGTTTCTGGGGGGTCAGCTTTATCTTTCTCATTAATTTTCAGATTTTTGGGGGGATTTCTGTCAGGAATTTTTACCCAAAACTTGGAGTTTCACCGGTGATCCAAGTCCATTGCCCTTTGTGCTGCTCGTCCATCACCCCAATCCAGTAAGAGTTGTTCCTCTGGATGTTGTGTACCAGAAACAACTGGAAAAGCAGAATTCCTTAAAACAGCCCCAAATCTATCATTCTGGTGGGTTATGTGGCATAATTCCCAGGTTTTTGGTAATAAGGTTAGGTTATAAGGTTTTATATATATAACCATATATATATATATATATATATATATATAATATATATAACCTATAAGGTTAGGTCACCTTTATATATACATATATACATTAAACTGCTAAATGAATTGTATAATCATTAATTAACTGTGTGCCGTTTAATTTTTTTTCAGTTCTTTTGTTTTTGCTATTTAGTTTTAGGTAATTATTGATTACACATAAGGTATTACATGAGTAAATTATTTAAACATTACTAGTGCATTATTTCAGAATTAGTAAACTCAGTTTTATGATTTTAATTATTTTCAGTTAATTTTTTCTTCAAAATCAAATCAAGTATTAATTACAGATTGTTGCCTGCCACCTATACAATTAACCATTAATTACATTAATAACTTCATTTTGATTTAGAACACCTTTAATTCTTAGAACACATTTAAATTCTGTGTTTAAGGTCCAAGTTAGGAGCTTGACTTTTCTCCCCTCACGTTTTCCCGCTCTTTTCTCCCCTCACGTTTCCCGCTCTTTTCTCCCCTCACGTTTTCCCGCTCTTTTCTCCCCTCATGTTTTCCTGCCCTTTTCTCCCCTCTTTGTCCCTTTTCCCTAAAACAGGGACATTCCCAACAACACAACTCAACCTGGCCACGGGACCATCTCCGCTTCCAAAAACAATTCCCAATCCTGGTGAGTTGCACCCCAAAAAGGAGCCGGGAATTCCCAGGCTGGGGATTCCCTGGGAGAACATTTGGGGTTTGGGATTATTTGGGGTTTATTTGTGATTTTCCCCTCACCTGCTCGTCCTCAGTGCTGACCACGACCAGGTGGGCGCTGAAGGCGGCGCAGGAGTTCTGGGCCCTGCCCCAGCTCTGGGGAATCTCCGAGAAGAGGTAACAGGTGTTCTTGTGAAATTGCCACCCGTCCGGGCACTTGTTGGAGTTGTTGATGGTCTGGCAGAGCAGGTCTGGGAAACGGGGGAAAAACACAGCGAAAGGGTGAAAATCCAGGGAAAAACCACAGAGAAACGGTGAAAATACGGGGAGGAAATGTGGGAAATTCTGAGGGGTTTGGGGGCGAATTCCTTAGGACATGGGGGAGTTTTAGTTGTTTTCAGGGGAATTCCAGAGGTTTTGGGGGAATTTGGGGGATTACCGGTGATCCTGCCCAGCTCCATCTGGTGCCACCGGACCTGCCGCAGCTCCTGCCGGGCTGGGAATGGGGAGGAGATCCCAGTTCTCCCAGTACAGACCAGTCCTCCCAGTACAGACCAGTGCTCCCAGTACAGCCCAGTCCCTCCCGCTTCCCTCCCAGTCCATCCCAGTCCATCCCAGTGCTCCCAGTCCATCCCAGTTCCCTCCCAGTCCATCCCAGTTCCCTCCCAGTCCATCCCAGTTCCCTCCCAGTCCATCCCAGTTCCCTCCCAGTTCCCCTCCCAGTGCTCCCAGTTCCTACCCAGCTCCCAGTTCCCCAAGTTCTCCCGCAGCAGCTCCAGCTCCTCCCGCATTTCCTCCTCTGGAATAAAAATCACAGAAAATCCCCGTGGATCCCACCCCGAATTCCCAGAAAATCCCTGTGGATCACCCTGGAATTCCCCAAGATTTGGGAATTCCAGAGCCCATCCAAATTTGCCTCATTTCGGGAATTTTTGGGGCTGAGGGGGCAGTTCCAGAGGGATTTTATTTGGGGTTTGTCCCTGCTGGGAATGGAGTGGAGGAAACCCCAAAATTCCCATTCCAAAGCTAAAATTCCACCCCAAAAATTCACATTCCCACGTGGGTTCCCAACCCCAGCTGATTTTCAGGATCTCAAATCCCCCCCCTTTTCTGGGCCGTTTTCTCTTTTTCTCGGGGGCATTTTCCCTTTCCTGCTGCCTTTTCCCGGATTTTCCCGGCTCTCCACTCACGGTTTCTCATGGATACCCCGTGCAGGATGACCCAGAGCAGGCAGCTCAGGGCCAGCAGCACGGCCACGCTGACCACCGACCAGCGCGGGGCCCAATCGCTGGGATTCCATTCCGGAATTTTCCACTCTGGATCCACCCGAGGCCTCTGGGATGGGGCAGGGCCTTGGGAACGGCTCGGAGGCTCCTCCCGGATATAAACTGCAGGGAAATGGGGAAAAAGGAAATTCTGTTGGAATTTTAGGGGATTTTGGGGTGAAATCCTGATCCAGGGGGTTTCTGGGATAGCGGGAATTGCGGGAATCGCCCCGTTTTTTGGGAAAATGCTGGAGCAGTTTCTGAATTTGCTGCATTTGGGGAATTTTGGGGGTTGAGGGAGGAATTCCGAAGTGGATTTGCTCCGGATTTATCCCGGTTGGGAGTAGGGTGGAGAAAGCCCCAAAGTTCCCATTTCAACGTGGATTTCAACCCAAAATATTCCCATTCCAAAGGTGAATTTAAATCCCAAAATATTCCCGTTCCAAAGGTGAATTTAAATCCCAAAATATTCCCGTTCCAAAGGTGAATTTAAATCCCAAAATTCCCGTTCCAAAGCTGAATTTAAATCCCCAAAATTTCCATTTCTCAGGTGGAATTAAACCCCAAAGTTCCGAATCTGAGGCAAAACTAAATCCTGAAATTTATGGGATGAAGTTTTCCGGGAATGCGGGGCCGTTCTGGGGCCAAACCCCGATTTTTTGGGATCCACCTTTCTTCATTGGGGCAGCTCTGGCTGCCGGCATCCGATACAATTCCGACATGGACGCGTCCTTGGAGCTGGAAAAGAGGGAAAACGGGGAAAATTGGTGTTTTAGGTGGACTGGGAATCCTGGGTTCTTTGGCAAGCATCAAAAAAATCACAATTCCTGCGAGATTTTCCCTTTTTCTCGTCCTTTTGTAATGGGTTTTATCGGCTTTCGTCCCATTACTCCCAGAGCCGAGTTCTCCCCTTTTCCATTTGGGGATTCCCAGGTTTTTCCATGCTTTTCCCTACAAGAAATTGGTATTTTTTAACATGAACTGGTTCAGTTCCCAAAAATCCCAAAAATTACCCCAATAATCCCAATTGATCCCAATGATCCCAAAAATCCCAACAATTTGGGGTGTTTTTTTTTGTTGTTTTTTGATTTTTTTCAGGGGGATTTTTTGTGATTTTGGGGGGGATTTTTGTGTTGTTTTGAGGGTTTTGGGGGATTTGGTTTTTGGTGGTTTTTTTGGGGGGTTTTGGTGCATTTTTGGGGCTCCCAAATTCCGACGCCATCCGAGGCCTCCCCCAACAAAACAAGAAGTGGCCGATTCTCACTTTTCCCCCCCAAATTTCTCTTATCTCTCTCAGCTTCTCTTATCTCCCCCTGCAGCTGCTCCCTCCCCTCCTCTTTCCTCTAAATTTAAATTTTATTTTTCTTGAAATTCCAAATATTTTAAGCAAACCTCTCCACACCAACAACTTTGAACCCTTTCCTCCTCGTTTTCCTCCTCCAAACCCGAAATTAAAGGACCCAAAAGCACCAAAATCCTTCTCCCGTTGAGCAGGAGCTCTCAAAATCCAGAAAATTCCAAAATCCATCGCTTCACCCCCATATTTGTTCCCAAATTTTTGAAGTCTAGGGTTCCGTTTTTGGGGATTTTCCCCCCAGCTTTAATTTATCCACTAATTAAATCTACATTGGGATTACTACTTACTCAGTTAACATTTAATTAAATGAATACTTAATTAAACTATTAAATTATGTTTAATTACATTGGTATCCAATCAACACCATATTTCATGAATTAATACTTAATTAAGTATGCAATATTTAATTATTTGATTTAGTTAATTCTCCACCATTGCTGTTCCAACTGGGAATCCAATCCGCCTCCAACGTTTCAAGATTCGTCCAAAGGGCGATTTCTTTAAAAAAAAGGGTTCCAAAATCCCCAAATAACCCCAAAACCGAGCAGGAAAATACCGAAATCATTTTGTTCCAGGCTGCCCGGGAAGGGGGATCTGAAATAAGCCAGTTTCAAACGGCCGAAAACCCAAAATAACGGCCCAAAATCCCAAAATGACCTCGTCCAACAATCCCAGCTCCGAAATTCCCCCAAAAACCGAATTCCCCAAACGGCCCCGTTCCCCACAAAACCCAGCCCCCAAAATCCCAAATTAGCCCCGTTTCGAAATAGCAGGGAACCCGCAAAACCCCGAATTCGCCCCGTTTCAAACTGCCAGAAAACCGAATTTCAGAATCCCAAAATAACCCCCTGGAAAAATCCCAGTTCCGAAATACCCGGAATCCCAATTCCAGAATCCCCAAATCCCCAAACAGCCCCGTTTCCCACAAAAACCGAGGTCGGAAATCCCAAAATAACGCGGCTTCGAAACCCCGAAATAACTCCAAATATCAGCAAAACCAATCCCAAAATCCACAAAACCCAAAAAAAATCCCAAAAAACCCCCGGAATCCACGCTCCGAATTCCGGGAATAACCGGGTTTTGAAATCCCAAAGTACCCTAAAAACCAAAATCACCCGCTTTCGAAATTCCCAATTCCACGGCCTCGAATCCCGAAATGCTGAATTCCAAAATCCCAGCTGTCCCGAAAGGCCACAATTCCCCCCCAAAAAACAGCCCCGAAAGGGGGGTCTCACCAGAGAAATTGGGGAGTTTTGGGGTTTTTCTCCAGGGGAATCCCAGCGGGGAAAGATCCGGAAAATCCCTCGGGAGCTCCGGGGCTGCCGCGTTCCGGCTGGGGCAGGAGCGAACCCGAACCCGGCCGGAAATGGAACTTTCGACCAAAATTTTGGGATATCGGGAATTCCTTATCAGCGCTGGCCAGCGGTGGGCGGGGCCTCCACCCCTCCCCTCATGAATATTCATTAACACCCCCCCAAACCCCGATTTCCCCCCGAATTCATTCCCGTGGTTGGGAATTCCGGGGGGGATTTTCCTGGATCCCCTCCGGCTCCAGGGGGATTCTCCTGGAATTTCGGGGTTGGGCCCAGAAGGAGCCAATGGGAATAATGGGAGTAGTGGGAATAATGGGAATGGGATAATGGGAATAATGGGAATAATGGGAGTAATGGGAATAATGGGAGTAATGGGAATAATGGGAATAATGGGAATTGGATAATGGGAATAATGGGAGTAATGGGAATAATGGGAATAATGGGAATAATGGGAATAATGGGAGTAATGGGAATGATGGGAATGGGATAATGGGAATGATGGGAATAATGGGAGTAATGGGATAAAGGGATAATGGGAATGGGAATAATGGGATTGGGATAATGGGATTGGGAATGATGGGAATGGGAATAGGGGTGAGAATGGGAATTCCCTGACATTGGGATTTTGGGGTTTTTTTTAGTGGGAATTCCTGGGATTTTGGAGGATTTTTGAGGCGCTGGAGGAGGCTCTGGAGAAGTTGAGGCTTTTGGGGTAAAAAACGCCCAAATTGGTTCATGTTCAAACCAGTGATTTTATTGGGGAGCTGGGAGGGGGTGGGAGGAGCAGATTTGGGGTTTCCTGGGATCTTTTGGGAGGGATTTGGGTTATTTTCAATGGATTTGGGAGGATTTTGGGGTCATTCTGGATCCTTCAGGTGCAAAATTCGGCATCGCGGCGCCAAAATTCCAGGAAAAATTCCTTTTTTCTTTTTCCTTTTGAGGGATCTGTTAAAAACCACCCCAAAACGGGTGCAGAGAGGCAGGAATTCAGCAATTCCCGGGTTTTTCACAAATCCAGCGGTGGAATTCCGAGCAGCGCGCGTTGACCCAGAGCCCCCGGGGGCCGATGGTGCCGCAATCCTTCAGCTCCCTCTCCGAGTCCTCCAGCCACACATCCCAAAACCTGGGGGAAAAAACGGGAAAAGGGGAAAAAAACAAAAAAAAAGGAATTAAAACATCCCAAAAAAAATCCCGGTTTTGGGGTGGGAAACTCTCCCGAAATCCCGTTTGTTCCAAGGTAAAAATGAAACTGGGAGTTTCCTCCCAAATCAGGAATTTCTTCCCCAAATCAGGATTTTTTTACTAAAATCGGGGTTATTTTTAAAACCAAAAAACCGGGGATTTTTACTGGAAGCCAGGATTCCTCCTGCTAAAAATCCGATTTTTTGAGAAGGAAAATTGGGATTTTTTTTGTTTTGTTTTTACTAAAAACTGGGATTTTTTTTTCCCAAAAACGGGGATTATTTTTTTTTCCTCCCAGAAATTGGGAATTGTACCAAAACTGGGGAATTTCACCTGAAATCGGGATCCTCCCCGGTGACCCAGAGCCACTTCCCCTCCTGCTCCCTGTCCGTCACCCCCAGCCAGTAGGAGCTGCTGCGGTTGCTGTTCTCCAGCAGGAACACCTGGAAAAAATTCCCAAAAAACCCCAAATCCGCAATTCCCGAGGGCTACGGAGCGAAACCCCCGGGTTTCGGGGGGAAAAGGGCATTTTTTGGGTGTTTAGGGGTTTTTTTATTGAGTTTTCATCCGACTGCGATCTATTGTGGGTTTTATTTGAATGGGTTTTAATTCGAGTTTTATCCAGCATTAGTTCCGTGGTTATTTATTAATTTATTGATCAGTTAATGCTGCTATTAATTAATTGTTCATTTGATTTGGGACTGAGTTGAGGTTCGGGGTTGATTTGGGGTTCGGGGTTGATTTGGGGTTCGGGATGGATTTGGGGTCCAGGATGGATTTGGGGATTTGGGATGGATTTGGGATTTGGGGTCTGGGATGGATTTGGGGTTCAGGATGGATTTGGGATGGATTTGGGATGGATTTGGGGTCCAGGATGGATTTGGGATGGATTTGGGGTCCAGGATGGATTCGGGGTGCCCCCTCACCTGCTCCTCCTCGGAGCTGACGACGGCCAGGTGCGCTCCCAGGTCGCCGCAGGCGTTGCGGGCGCTGCCCCAGCTCAGGGAATCCCGGGAAAAGGAGTAGCAGCTGTTCCCATGGGATTTCCATCCGGCCTGGCACCGCCGGGAGCTCCTGGCCTGGCACAGCAGCTCTGGGAAAACACCGGGAAAATCCCCGGGGGAAATCCCAGCTTCTCCTCCGGGATCATCCCAGGGGCTCCCCACGAGGAAACGCCTCAAAACCCACGGGAATCCTCCCAGTTTTCCCGTCGGAACGGGAATTCCAGGTGGGGGGATTTTGGGGGGGGATTCCGGGGGTTTGGGGGAGTTTTTGGGGGGGATTTTGGGAATTACCGGTGAGTTCCTGCAGCTCCAGCTGGTGCTGGTGGATCCCGAACTGCAGCCGGGTCTGCTCCTGCTGGACTGGGAGAGATCCCAGTGCTCCCAGTACAGCCCAGTACTCCCAGTACAGCCCCTTCCCCACGGCTCTGATCCCCTTTTTCCCCTTTTTCCCCCCGGAATTCATCAATTTGTCAGCGGTTGAGGCTTTGCCCGATTCAATCCCATTTTTAGCCCGGCTCTCCCGAAGGATTTTCCGCCCTTTCCGTCATTTTTGGGCGGAAATAAAGGAATTTGTTCCCGCTTTTCCAGGGAAATCCCCATCAGGAAAAGCCCCAGTGTGGGATAAATCCCAGCATTTTGGAATCTGGGCTGATCCTGGCTGGAATTGGGGAAAAGGGAGGAAAAACAGGGAAAAATCAGGGGTTTCCCCCCAAATTTTACACCAAAAACAGAGCTGGAAAAGGTGAGAACCCCCAAAATCAAAGTTTTCCTGGATGTGATTCCAGGACTTACCAGAATCCCAAATTCCCGACAAATTCGACTTCAGGAGCTCCAGTTCCGCGCTCATTTCCTTGTCTGGAAGGGAAATCGGGGGAAAGAAACTGGAATTCCTGGGAACTAAACCTCAAAATTCCCATTTTTGGGTGGAATTCACCCCAGAATTCCCATCCCGGGTGGATTCCATCCCCAAATTCCCATTCCAGCTGGAATTAAACCCCAAATTCCCATTCTTGGATGGAATAAACACCCAAATTCCCATTTTTGGGTGGAATTTAACCCCAAATTCCCATTTTTGGATGGAATAAACACCCAAATTCCCATTTTTGGGTGGAATTAAACCCCAAATCCCCATTTTTGGATGGAATAAACACCCAAATTCCCATTTTTGGGTGGAATGGGTCCCCAAATTCCCATTTTTGGGTGGAACTGAACCCCCACATTCCCGTTCCCACCGGAATTCCGGGCCCACTCACGCTTCCCGATGGCCACGGCCAGGAGCCCCCCCCAGGCCAGGGCGCTCAGGGCCACCAGCAGGGCCAGGACGGCCACCAGGGCGGAATTCCCGGATTTTGGGGCCAAATCCTGGGATTTCGGATCCGAGTCCCGGGAACTGGGGCTGAATTCCTCCGGATCCTTCGGGGATGGGGCTCGGGAAGAGCCCGGAGGCCCCGCCAGGAGGTAAACGCCTGTTGGGAAGGGGAATTTTAGGGAATTTTGGGGAATTTTGGGGAATTCTGGGATCAAATCCCGATCCAGGGTGTTCCAGGGAAATGCGGGAAAATTGTCGGGATTCCAAATCTGCCCCGTTTATGGATTTTTTTTAGGGAAATTGGGACTCAAATCCCCAAAATTTCGCTTCCTGAGGTGGAATCAACCCTAAAATTATCATTTTTAGGCGGAATGAAATCCTAAAATTCCCATTCCAGGGTGGAATGAAACCCTGGAATTCCAAAGTTAATCCATTTCGGGGCCAAATCCCAATCCCAGGGAATTTTTGGGATCCACCTTTGGCGGGGGCGCCCTGATCCGAGCCCACCACGGAGACGTCGTCGTAATCGTCCTCGAAGCTGTCAGGAGACGCTGGAAAAGAGGGAAAAAATGGGAAAAACGGGAAAAACTGGATTTTAGGAGCACCGGGAATCCCGGATTATTCGGAAAATGTCCCAAAAAATCGCAATTCCCACGGGGATTTTCCCATTTTCCCTCCTTTTTTATGGATTTTATCGGTTTTTATCCCTTTATTCCCAGAGCTCTCCCCTTTTCCCTTTGGGAATTCCCAGGTTTTTCCACGCTTTTCCCTCATTTCCCCCCCAGCAAAACTGACATTTTTAACAGGAACCAATTCCTTTGTTTTCTGCCCCAATTAACTCAGCCAGCGGCTTCAAAAATTCCCAAAATCCGGGGAATTCCCTCAAAACCACGGGAAGGGTTTTAAAGTCTTATTTTTAAAGAAGTCCAAGGGGGGAAAAATCGACTTTTCCGGGATTTTGGGGCCAGAGGATCGGCAGAAATTCCCAGTCCTGGCTGAAAATTAATCAGGAATTCCATCCTCCCCCCCCAAAAAATCGGGAATTTTGGTGCTTTCCATGAAGGGTTTGGGGGCTGGGAAGGTGCAAATCCCATCCAGAAATTCCCTCAGAGCGGGATTTCTGGGGGTCTTGGATTTTTTGACAGTTCTTGACAGCAGGATCCCAACTTGGATCAAAATCCCGCAAAATTCGGGACATTTTGGGCCAAAGGAGACAAAAATTGACCCCAAAACCCTGGAAAAACCCCGGAAAAACCCCGAAAATTGGGAAAAAGAAGAATTTACCTGGTCTGAAGTTTCCCACCGGGGACATCTTCCCGGGCACGGAGTAAATCGCTGCCGAAAACGGGGAAAATGGGGAAAAAATGGGGAAAAAACCGGGAAAGGAGCACTGGGAACAACGGGAGCATCCCCCAAAATCCCCACGGGGAACTCGCTAAAAACCCCGCTCAAATTGAGGCAAAACCCGCGGATTTTGGGGCTCTCGATGGCCCCGGGTTCATCCGAGCTCCAGCGACCACAGAGGGGATGAAATCTCCCAAAAAAGGGGATTTACCCCCAAAAAAAGGGAGAATTTGGGGATTTAACCCGGTAAAAACGGGGATTTGGAGGCTTAACCCAGAGAAGGGGCGGGAATTGAGGATTTTCCCCGGAAAAAGGGGAAATTGGAGGATTCCCCCCCAAAAGGGGTGCGGGGGTTCACCCCGGGCTCGGGGTTTACCTGGCTGCCGCAGCAGGCGCTTGGGGCCCAGCCAGTTGCCGTAGGTCTCCTGCCGGGCCATTTGGGCACCCCAAATCCTCGCTCGGGTCCCCCTCGGGCACGGATCCGCCCAAACCCGCCGCCTCCCCCGGGATTTGGGGGGAAAACAGCTGGATTTGGGATCGGGGAGCCGAGGGATTCCCCAGATCCACCGCGCTGCCGCCGGCGGCTCCGGGACGCCCCGAAACGCCCGAAATCCCGAATTTCCCTCCCGTGCGGGGCGAAACCGCAGATTTCCCAGCTGCTGCCGTCAGCCCCAGCGTTTTGGGGTAAAATCCTGATTTTTTGGGGGTAAAACCCCAGAATTTTGGGGGTAAAACCCCAGTTGCTGGGGCAGAATCCCGAGTTTTGGGTTAAAAGCCCGGATTTCCAGCTCTGGGTGTGAGAGCCGCGGTGACACCGGCGCCGCGCTTGGGCACCCCCGAGCTCCGCATTTGCATTTTCTACCCCAAAACGCTCCCAGCCTCGTTTGCACCTCTCTCGCTTCCCCTTTTCGGGTCTTTTTTAACCCAAAACCTCCGAGGAGGCGGCAGCGACGCTCCCCCGCCTGAATTTCCGGGGAGTTTGGTTAAACTGCAGCCAAAATCCCACGGATTTGGAGATTTCCCTGATTCCTGATGAAAAACCTCAAAAAAAAAATGGGAATAAACCCCCAAAATCCCCTGGAGATTCCCCAAAATCCCCCCCTGGGGTCTCGCCTTTCTCCCCCCGGGGCTGGGCCCCGCCCCCGCTTTGGGGAGGATTTGGGGAGGATTTTGGGAATCGCTTTTGGATCTTTCCCCAGAAAAGAAAAAAATCTTTTCATGCCGGGGCCGGTTTTGCCAGATTTCCCCCTTTTTTCCCTGAATTTCCCGTTTTTCCCCCGGGGATTTTTCCCCTGGTTTTAGCCAGATTTCCCCACTTTTTGATGGATTTCCCCACTTTTTGATGGATTTCCCCACTTTTTGATGGATTTTCCCTGGTTTTGCATCCAATCCCCTTTCCCGGACCCCCAGGTGGATCCAGGCGGGAAAACCCCATTCCAGATGTGACCCCCCCACCCCAATCCAGATGTGCTCATACCTCTGATCCAGATGTGAATTCCCCCGATCCAGCTGTGGCTATCCCGATCCAGATGTTCCCATTCCAGCTGTTCCCCATTCCAGCTGTTCCCATTCCAGCTGTTCCCGCTCCAGCTGTTCCCCATTCCAGCTGTTCCCGCTCCAGCTGTTCCCGCTCCAGCTGTGGCTATCCCGATCCAGCTGTTCCCATTCCAGCTGTGTCCCGATCCAGCTGTTCCCATTCCAGCTGTTCCCGCTCCAGCTGTTCCCGCTCCAGCTGTTCCCGCTCCAGCTGTTGCCGCTCCAGCTGTTCCCATTCCAGCTGTTCCCATTCCAGCTGTTGCCGCTCCAGCTGTTGCCGCTCCCGCTGTTCCCATTCCAGCTGTTGCCGCTCCAGCTGTTGCCGCTCCAGCTGTTCCCGCTCCAGCTGTGCCGCTCCC